GCTGTGTGTGAATCAATGAAAAATAAAATGATAATGAAAGATTAGCATCCTCAGTTAGCCTAATTTCTGAGGTATAGCTTTTACCTTTAAGAAATCAGCAATTCTTCAATTACTCACTGCACGTTTTAGAAATAAACCATCAATTGACGTATTTTATACCCTTTTAAACATATTTCTAATGTGTTCTGATTAAAAGTGTGCTTTTTTGTTTGTAAACATGGATGTTTTTTCAGTTGGTGTCTAAATTAACTGCTGCTTATCTGTTCTTTCCAAGCTGGACAATCCCGATGAGCAGGCAGCGCAAATAAGAAGAGAACTGGATGGACGGCTGCAGATGGCAGATCATATCGCTCGGGTAAAAAGAAAAGACTAATGGACATTTTTAAAGATGTTCCTGTAAAATGACGTCATAGTTTGACTATAAGAATTATCTTTAGAAGAAATGTTTGTTCTATATATTTTTTCTGTTTGTAACTAACTTGCTTGTTTTACTATAATTTAAATATTCAATTACTATTTTCTGTGAAAGTTTAATAGCAAAATCAGCTATTTGTATGAATGATGATTCTAACAATATTTCAAAGCCCTCGTCAGGGACAGTTTATCTGTAATTAGTAATTAAAGGAAAAACTATAAAACAGAAAAAAAACTATATGATTTTCTAAAGAAGCACATTTTTAACTTAAACAGGGGGAGAGAGTGAGGTTTTTGAATTTCTGGCAGGTTGAGTCGAGGTTTGAAGGACCCAAATGCAGACATGGAAGCTTAGGTGGTTTCTTGCAGGTTTAATATCCAAAGGGGCAACAGCAGCAAACGTCAACAAACAAAATAACCCCTCATGAGGATGAAAAATGATGATGACCAGCAAACAGTGAGGTAAAAGGAGGTGTATAAACGGGTGACTAAACAAAGACCAGGCTAATCAGCAGAATGGGAGCAGGTGTTGGCAGAAGAATCAAGAAGTGAGCTAGGGGAAGGATACTGACACAAGAGGGCAGCAGAGGGTGAACTAGAAACACATTAGACCTCAAATACAACCAGAAAATGACTAAAATAAAACAACATGGAATTAAAACCAATGAAAACCCAAAAAGAAAACTTAAACAGAACAAAATCATGACAGGGAGGGAGTTCTGTTTTTGTGAAGCAGGGAAGCAAAAGCTTTACTATGAAGATGACCTCAGAGGGGGAGGCAACAAGTAGGAGATCTGACACATAAGAGGCAAGGCTGGGAAGGACTGAATGTGTTTAGGATAACTTTTAATTCTATTTTACATTAAACCGGAAACCAGTGCAGCAATTGGAGGGATTGGAGGCAGAGATGAAATAGGAACGAGCTGGGGAGAGGGGTGAGGGAGGGCGGCAGTGGAGGAGTGATATTACTCAAGTGAACTTGAAATGATGGTGTGGGTTTGTTTTTATTACTGACTCATTAATTTGTTTTCCTTCTCTAAAATTGAACATGTGCTACTCCAGTTTTAAACATTAAAATGCTGAAAAACTGGAAAAATAGAGTGAAGCCAAACAAGGTAGAAGAAGATATGATGACGATAGGAAATCTTCAATTCACAGAGGCGGGACGTGGATGCTTTAGATCAAACAGGATGCAGCTCATTTCAGCTGGATGATTAAACTGTTCATCTCCTGTTTCGTTAAGCTTGGAGAAAGGTTTCCGAGGTTCGTTTCCAGAGAGATGGAGGCCATGTACATCGAGGAGCTGCGATCGTCCGTCAATCTGCTGATGGCAAACCTGGAGAGCATGCCCGTGTCCAAGGGGGGCGAGTTCAAGCTGCAGAAGCTGAAACGTGGACACAACACCTCTATTATGGACATGGGTCAGGAGGATGAAAACCTGCTCTCAAAGTCTGATGTTGTCTTGTCCTTCACCCTGGAGGTAAGAAATTTCCCAAAAGACAAAATCTCTAAAAACCAGCATTATATAAGAAATATATAATAACGGATAAAATGCATGTTCTAATGACTTTAAAATGCATTTACCCGATTTCTTCTCAGTCATATCTGAAGTTGATCTTAATAGGTTTGTTTGTTTAGATTGTGTAAAATCATAATGTTCAGAATCAGAAAGTAAATCAATCAGTCAACTGTTATTTCTGAAGTTTGTTATCACAACCAAAGCAGCTCAAGGGGCAAAGGGATGTACAAAACAATATATATACTATGGAAGCTCATTGGTAGAATTCCCTTATGACAGAAATAAGGCCACGATTCACACCATCTATCATCCAGAGGGGGGGAACATTTATTTACAAAACCGAATTCATACAGCTGTCTTAAACACTTCAT